TAGATCTGATTTTTTTAAATTAATAAATTATGCTACGGAACAAAATATTCAGGCGTTCACTTCAAAACTACGACATTTATGATAATTATAATCATACATGTATTATTATAGTCTTTATTTGAATATTTAAAGTTAAAAATGGCGTTTCTGAGCTAAAATTTAAAAATACTAAATTAAGCGTAGATATACATGTACATGATATTTGATATTTATGTTCAAATTAAAATTTTCACCGATATTGAAGTTAAATAACCCCACGTTTCTATTAGTTTAATTCAAACTAATTGAATTAAAACTGTGTCTGATATTTCAATTTCGAGTTGATAAGAATCGGCCATTGTTTTAAATCGGAGATATCTATGAAAAGCGATTGATTTAAATTGTTTGATTTTCATTAAATGTTTCAGTCTGAATTTCATTTCGAATTTTTGTTTTTTTGTTATTGAAATTTTAAACTTTTTATTTCCAACATTTTAAGCTTTCATTTCCGACATTCTAAAGTGATCATCTCCGACATTTTTCAGGAAGTGCTTTCCGTTAATAAAAAAAATTATCAAGAAAACATTATAGACTGTTTAGTAAATCAAATGTTTTGGAAATAATTTTGGCGCAGTCTTTGACATTTAATTTAGTGAATTTTAAATGCGATGAAAAAAAATTGCCTGCTCATTAAATTCTGTTAACTAGACTCAGTGCTTTATGTACAGATGTAAATACATTATACAGAACTTTTATATTAAAATTGTTGTGTAAAATAAATTCTATTAAAATTCTATTTCTATATACAAGTACCTGGTAAACATTAAATTGCTGGAGCGATACCTTGCAAAAATTCAAAAAATGAAAAGAAATAAATGTCGGGAAAGAGAAGACAAATTGTTGGAAATGAAATAAAGAAATAGCGAAAATACCATGCCGATTTCCGGAAATGAAATGCAGCGGTCCTATCTTTGCAATTGTATATAAAGTACCAAAACAAATAGAAAGATCTTTTTTCATATTCTTAGTCTGAACTTAAAACACCTTATATGACTTTAAAGTTTTTAAACGCAGTAGAAGAAAAGGTCCGTCCTCTGTATTTCAGATATCTTTATCTTATAAAGGGAAATTTTTGGACAGGGTTTATTTTCGTAGCTTAAAAAAGTAGAGAAAGGGACAGGGCGGACCTTAAAACGCACTTATCAGAAAAGGTCCGCCCTCTGTATTTCTGATATTTATAAGTCTTTAAGGGAAATTTTGGGACAGGGTTTATTTTCATAGCTTAAAAAACGAGAGAAAGGGACAGGGAGGACCTTAAAACGCAGTTATAAGAAAAGGTCCGCCCTTTGCATTTCAGATTTCTTAAAGTCATTAAGGGATTTTTTTAACAGGATGTATTTTCGTAGCCTTAGAAAACTAGAGAAAGGGATAGGGCGGACCTTAACACGCAGTTATCAGAAAAGGTCCGCCCTTTGTATATCTGATATTTATAAGTCATTTAGGGCAAATTTTGGAAAGGGTTTATTTTTGTAGCTTAAAAAACTAGAAAAAGGGACATGATGGACCTTTAAACGCAGTTATCAGAAAAGGTCCGCCCTCTGTATTTCACATATTATCTTTATTTTATAAAGGGCAAATTTTGGACGGGGTTCATTTTCGTAGCTTAAGGAACTAGAGAAAGAGATAGGGCGGACCTTAAAACGCAGTTATCAGAAAAGGTCCGCCCTTTGTATTTCTGATATTTATAAGTCATTAAGGTAAATTTTTGGACAGGGTTTATTTTCGTAGCCTTAAAAACTAGAGAAAGGGACATGATGGACCTTAAAACGCAGTTATAAGAAAAGGTCCGCCCTCTGTATTTCAGATATTTTTATGTTATAACGGAAAAATTTTGAACATGGTTTATTTTCGTAGCATAAAAATCTAGAGAAAGAGTTAGGGGGACCTTAAAACGCAGTTATCAGAAAAAGTCCGCCCTCTGTATTACAGATACCCGGTATATCTTATTATACAGCAAAAATTATGGACGGGGCACATCTCTCTCATTAACAAAAGAGAACGACGACAGACAACGGACAAATTTTTATGAGAAATGCTCAGTTGAGCCATCGGTTGTGTGAGCTAAAAAGTAGCAGTGAGGTCCTTATATTAAAACGCACCATTAGAAACGGTCCGTCTTTTGTTTTGAAAATAGTTTTTAAGAAAAAGAAAAGTCGACATTTGCTAACTTAATTTCCAACAATTGACTACTGTATACTTATAAAAACTGGAAAACATAAGAAAATACTTCGACAAAAACGTTGATTTATTGATTAAATGCTGCTTAATGACCCTCTCGAGAATTTTTCACTCATATAGAGGCGCCATCACTTGCAGACAGAGAGCTACAAATTTTGTCCTTTACTCGGCACTTGCGGCCATTGAGGAGGGATGGATCTTTTTCGTGCCAGCATCTACTGTGACACGGGACCCCGTTTATACGTTTTCATCCGAAGGACCGATTTTCACGTCCCAGAAAGGGGTTCGAACCTGAGACGTAGGACCAACTCCTCAATTTGACGCTCTAACCACTGCGCCAATACAAGCAATATACATATAAAGTCTACGTAAGATAATTTCCTTACACTTTTTAAACACTATCTTTAGAATTGAAAATTTCTTAATTCTTAATATTTTTTAAAATGATAATGTTGACATTAGTGTATTTAAACGACAAAATAAGCATGTCCCATCTTCCCGACAGGAAACTCGATCAATAAATCTATACATTCCTTTATTTATGTATTAATTTCTTACTTATTGTTTACTACATCCTCTTGGAGGAAAAACTAGCTATTAATACGACTTAATATCCTCAATCAAATTTTAAAAAAATACCGGTAGTTTTCAATTAATATCGAATGAACACGTATAGTAGGCCGAGGGCGGACCTTTTCTTATAGAGAAAAGCGGACCTAATATGTTATCGTATTAGGTCCGGCCGGACCTTTAAACGAGGCGGACCAAATATTATGCGACACCGGCTTATGTCATCCTGTTCAAGGCAGGAAGTTGACCCCATAGTCGCCATTTTAAAGTTACGTGCAAAAATATAGTTCTTACTCTCAACCGCTTTTGAGATAATACAAACCCTAAATAAAGCAACAAAAATAAAACGAAGTTTAATCTATATAAATAAACATTAGTAGTAATGACTTTGAAAACTTCAGTCCTAAGTTAAAGAACATAGTTCATTAGCGTAAGGATTTTTGATAACCAGTGTTACGTACTCTACACATACGAGGTAAAGCAGGAGAGGGAACCAGACAGTCCTGTTTGTTTACATTCAGCTGCGGTACTAGATTAATTCTGATTCTGACAAAATCGGACCGTGGTATTAGGATTGAAAAACTCACTGTCAGTGTCTTACCATTTATATTGATAGTTTTAAAATAATTTTTTCATCAAAATATAAACGTGATTCATGTAAGAAATTCATTCTACTCTGTAAATGAGCCCGGCTCTCTGTACTTCTGAGTACTTTGATTATGAATGCAAACAATTTGATCAGTTTATCTTAATTTCACACCTTGTCTTTGGTCTTTGATGATATAGACGGATTTCTCATTTATTCTTAAGAGTTATATCCTGTTGTCGGCATAAACTGAATAGTTTATTTCCATACAAGGGCCACAAGAAAGGCATGGAAGGCTGTGAACTTTAAATTTCCAGATTTGGCTACTGTAAAATCACATATTTTCTTTTGGGCAAATTTTCAAGGTTGTAGAAAAAATTATTGCCGTATCATTATGTGGCCCAGAGTTCTTGAAATCTTTTTTTCGCTGTCAGTTATTTGGACTGACTGCCATGTGAAGTTTGTCAGTCCAGACAAATTTCTATCAGTCCAAAAAAATCAATGAAAAGATGAAAACTGTATTTGAATTTTATTATCAATACAGTGTGTACCCAGCATCAATAAACACTGCACACTTCATGCCGATTTGATCGTCGTATAACAACTTTCATTGAATTGTGGGGTCCATTTTCTCCATAAGTTTTTAATCTAGTTCGATTTACTCACCTGGCTTACCTCAGCTCCATCAACAAACTAGTTTACCAATCATAGTTTGGAACTTTCGTTCATCGAAGAAGCCATTACAAGAAACAGAAAAGCTTTTGAAAGATTACGATCGCTCAGTTTTAGGGAATTTGTACAAAGTTTGGTCGGATTGACCAAGTTCCTCAGTCAACACTTACCGGTCATTTGGACTGACATAGAACACAAAGTTATAGGTCCTTGGTCATTTTTATCGGTTTTGCCGACAGGACCGAAAGATTTCAAGAACTCTGGTGGCCACACGTTGGGATTTGATTTTGTGGTTGGAGAATTGCTGAGTAGTAATGCATGATACATTTTGTGGCTGTCATAAATTCATGGGTCTCTCCATAAATTGAAAACATTGAAAATTAAACCTCCATAAAAAATAGCCATTTCACAGTATTTTTATTGTCTCATTAACTCTTTACAACTCAGTCACTGAACTGTTACGCAACATACACTTTATGTTCAGGTCAATGAAATATTCCCCGCAAGCACTTTACAGCGTGGTATAAATTTCTCTTAAGTTTAGCATAAATAAAATTATGACACAATTATTATTTCAATGAGATTTTAGCAGGTATTAAATAGATGGACATTGGCATTATGATAAAGATTAAATGTACTTTTGAATTTTAAAGTGAGTGAAAAATGCATGATTGCAGGGAAACAGTATACCGGTACATGTATGTGTGATTTTGCGTTAGAAGTAGGAATATGCGTTAAAATGTGTGACTGTGGGGAAGGGGGTTAAACCAGATGCTTGACTGTCTCTGTAATAATTACCTGAAATTTTACCAATATAATGCAATGCAAATATCTTAAACATTTAGGATCACTTTTAGCTAATTATAATTCTCTCTCTTTAAATTCTTGCCATAAAAGTTAGTTCATTGCTACAATGATGCAGGTCACCTGTTCATTCTGTGTTTTGAATTCTTAGACCAGGTACAGGGAGATGTGGTGAAGATCCAGATAGAACATCTATCAGAGAGGTGGATCCTACGAGCTTGTGTGGCGGAGAAGAGAGCAGCACCCTATGGAAGACTGAGGTCAGAATGTGGTGAACCTCTGATACAGAAACGAGATCTCAACTCTGTCATCAACAATCCTAGTAAGTTATCGTTGTCATCAACAATCCTAGTAAGTTAATACATTTCTCAGGTAAGCTTGGACTTTCAGTAGGTAACTGACAATCGTCTTATCATTGTCATAAAAAATCCAAGTAAGTTATCATTGCCATCAACAATTGTAGAAAGTTATCAAAATTGAATTTCGTTTTTAGTTCTACTGGTCAGAGACCAGAAGAGCTTATGCGATAGTAAGGTGTCCGTCGTCCGTCCATCTGTCTGTCTGTCTAGCTGTCCGTCTGTCTGTAAACAATTTTTCAAAATGCTACTCCTCCTACAGTTTTGGTCTGATTTTAATATAACTTGGCACACAAGTAGACTACACTAAGATACATAAAATAGTGCATCGGTTTTTGATTTCGATGAACGGTGTTGCCGTGGTTACTAAAAATAGAATTCTCTGTGAAATTCCTTTAAAATGCTACTCCTCCTACAGTTTTCATCTGATTTCAATATAACTTGGCACACAATTAGACTACACTAAGATACATAAAATAGTGCATCGGTTTTTGATTTCGATGAAAGGTGTTGCCATAGTTACTAAAAATAGAATTTTCTGTGAAATTCCTTTAAAATGCTACTCCTCCTACAGTTTTCATTTGATTTCAATATAACTTGGCACACAAGTAGACTACACTAAGATACATAAAATAGTGCATCGGTTTTTGATTTCGATGAATGGTGTTGCCATAGTTACTAAAAGTAGAATTTTCTGTGAAATTCCTTGAAAACGCTACTCCTCCTACACTTTTGGTCTGATTTCAATATAACTTGGCACATAAGCAGACTACACTAAGATACATAAAATAGTCCATCGGTTTTTGATTTTGATGAAAGGTGTTGCCGTGGTTACTAAAAATAGAATTTTCTGTGAAATTCCTTTAAAACGCTACTCCTCCTACAGTTATGGTCTGATTTCAGTATTACTTGGCACACAAGAAGACTACACTAAGATACATAAAATAGCGCATCAGTTTTTGATTTCGATGAACAGTTTTGCTTTTGTTACTAAAAATAGAAATGTCTGTGAAATTCCTGACGGCAATGGCTTCTTTTCTCATCCTTTGTCATAAGTACAAACCAGTAGAGCTACAGTCTCGACAGAGACTTCTGGTTTTGATAGTACTGTAGATTCCTAATTATACGCGAGGAATTAATTTCCGCGTAATTTCGCGAGAAGCATCACTTGCGAAAAAATATTACTCGCTTTTATTTTTATGTTGCTGAAATCTGTGTAAATTCTGTTGATTAACCGTCCATTCGCGAATTATAATTCCCGCGATTTGACATGAAAGACCCAGTTCGCGATAAAAAGTACTCGCGAAAAATAAGTAATCTACAGTATTAATCCTGTTTCCTCATCATGATGTTGTAAAGTTTATTCAGCCAGAATTCTTGATTTACTTATTTGATCCTCAACCTTCTTAAATTATTTCTATTGAGGATTTACACAGGTCAACACATTGAACATGTTGAATATGCAAAAATAATTTGTAGACCCAGGTAAACAATACACATATATATGATATATTTTTCTGAACCATCGCTCACAAAGCAAATATTTGCCTGTTCTCAGAAAATATGATTTCCTCTTAGCATAAAATAGAATAGGAGAGAGGAAATAAAAACTAGATTCAATTCACTGAGAGATGTGAATCCCAATGTCTTCCTGGTCTTTTAAAAATTAAAGGATTTTTTTGTCTCTTTCTCACTTGTGGCAGCTGTTTTTTAGTGTCAGAGCTCATCCAAAACACTCAAAGGTAAAAAAAATGATTTTTTTAACAAGTCAAGGGCAAGATAGTTTAGCTTAAATGAAGAGGGAAAATGAAACGACTGAGTTTTTCTATATTCCAAGTTATGCATGCCTATTTGTTTGATCCTCATATGAAACTTAATATATGGTGAATCATTGTCATGTCAATAGCAGCGCTCTAGGCTTTATACACTTAGAGGCCCAGAAGTCAAACTCATATCCTTGATAGGAATCTTTCCTCAATCAAAATGAGATGATATTATGCATAATTATGTTTCTCAAAAGAGTCTCTCTCTATGAGAGAAACAACAGCCAATAGGACAGGTATAGATATATACAATTTACTTGGGTGTTGATTTTTCTTATTTTATCAATGCATTGAAAATTTATAACAGTTATAATGTATCAATATGAATAGTACAATATTCACTTACTAGATCAAAAGGGATTAATTTTTTATGCGCCTGAATTTTTTCGGGGCGCATATTGTTTTTGTCCTGTCTGTTTGTCTGTTTATCTGTTTGTCTGTTTGTCTGTTGTCAACTTTAACCTTCGTCAAAACTTTTGAACCGTAAGAGATAGAGACTTCATATTTGGTATGCATACTCCTCTAATAAAGTTCTTTCAAATGACATCAAGGTCAATGACCTTGTGACCTTGACTGTGACCTATATGCTAAAAATAGGTTTTTCAACTGTTTGTCATAACTTTTGAACCATGAGAGATAGAGACTTCATATTTGGTATGCATACTCCACTAATAAAGTTCTTTCAAAACACCAAGGTCAATGACCATGTGACCTTGACTGTGACCTTTATGCTAAAAATAGCTTTTTCCACTTCTTGCCATAACTTTTGAACCATAGGAGATAGGGACTTCATATTTAGTATGCATACCCCACTAATTAAGTTCTTACAAACAACACCAAGGTCAATGACCTTGTGACCTTGACTGTGACCTATATACAAAAAATAGCTTTTTAGAACTTTGTTGATGCCGGGCGCATAGTGTTTCACAAACACATCTTGTTTTTTTTATAAATTTCATTGCACTCATTGCATTGTCTGCTTCTCAAGGAAATGCATCATTTATTTTTTCTCTCTCTCTCTCCCATAAACCAGGGAATCTTCTAGATGCAATTTTGAATAGCAATAAAATATTTAGTTAATATCTTTTTTTCAGCTTGAATTAATTACTCCTTACTTTTCCTGTTTTCTCCCTCCTTTTATGTAGAAGACATTAAATTTCTGATGCTGAATAATTTTCTTGTCACTTTTTATCTCTGGTTTTTAATGACTTTTTAAACACTCTTGACTGAGAACTGTCTGGTAGAATGAGGGATGATGGAATGGCATGTAGAACACGTGTTGGGGGAGGGGCCTGCTCGCGTAACACTCAACAGCTGGTTCATAACAATTTGTTAGCCAGTATGGCAAAAGAAGCATTCTGAGTATTACTGGTAGATCACCCCCCCCATTTAATGTTAATACAATAGACTTTGATAACTTTATTGGTTGTAATGGACAAAAAGAAAGGAAATTGCAAGCAGATACATGTACATTTATTTGTAAACACCCTCTTCAGATTGTCCTACATGTACAACAACTGGACCCTTTTATTTCAATCTGAAAAAAGAATCCTTTGATCCTTAGACTTAAAAAAAATCATTTATGTTAAAGTCATGCAAATTTTTGTGTTCTGATATGAGGAAAAGTTTCATCATATGTGATGTATACATATGTGTATAACCTGATTTATTGTAGTCTACAACCTCTTAAAAGGACCTTCTGTTTTTGTTAATACTGGTATATTGAAGACTCTGCATTTGAGATATATGTTTTGCCTTTGGAGTGGTTTTAAAGAAAATCAAGTTCCTTGAAATAAGGACATGACCACAATGAGCCTTGAAATTGTATAAAATATATACCTCATAAATATATAAAATAAATAAATAATTATTTTTCTCTGTTGTTTACAGCAATCTGATTGGTTAAAACTAGATCAGAGATCAAGTACAAAACATATAAACTAGCTGGATTTCTGTTTTAAGCTTTTTAAAAGGTTCTACAGGGTATAGACCTTCTCCGAGCTCGGTTGATGTGCCTTCTCAATCTCTCACCAGAGGGCGCGCTCTACTTAAACCTCTGTTGTCATCAAAAAAGTCGTTTGGGTTATCACATAATTCAATGGGATGAAAATAGTACATTTGTATAAACATTGATTGTTACAAAAGGTACTCATATAGTATAATGCTCCTTGATTGACTAATTAATTGACAAGAATTGGATCGACCTACCAGTAAAATATTATGTCTCCCAAATGTATTCAAATTTTAATAACTTAAGCCCAGGGTTTTGTTTTTATTTTCCATACCTCAAAAGAGTTAGGTACACTTCACTTGAATTTTTTTTTTACAATGGCAAGTGATACTAGAGCGTTTACTATACAGCTTTAACACATAAGAGATTTTGAGTGTTTTTCTCAAAGGAGGTGCTTTAAGTCAATCATCTCAACTTAAACTTATTCAACAAGGGCGCCGCAAAGCAGAGCATCCCTTTGCAAATCAAAATGGCATTCCGATCCTGAAGCAAATTACATCACTTCTGTTTCACACAGGACACACTAACACACACACAAACTAACACAACAAATCTTTTGAGAGGGCCAGGATAAAAATTGAAATGATCATTTCAAAGCACTCAGTTTTAACTGTAGAGTTTGTTTATTCTCTTTTGATGAACAGTTATACATGTAGAATGGACAATAAAATAATATCTCAGAATGTAAACATAATGGGAACCAGTCTTTATTGACAGACACTCTCGTGTCTTAATGTAGCAGGTACAACGTAGAATTATTATCTACACTTATATTACCACGTGGTTGATAAGTTTTATCCCTTTGAATATTTTACAATTTGAACATCGTTAAAATTTTTTGTTCCATGAAATTTATATTTAAAATGTATTTAACAACATAATATTTCACCTCCAAGTTTGGAACTAATTGTTTTTATACAAATTTTTAAGGCTGTTTCCTTAAATTGGTGAAATTTATTTTCAATGTATTCCGTGTTTTTTGATTGCATTCTTGGATTAACTTGGCCATGTGTATTGAAATTGTGAATGAAAGAAAAATTTTGAAATTACAAAGGATAATACTGAAATTCCAGCGAATTATTTTGACAAATGACGAGTAAAAAAGCCAAGTTTTACACCAGGTTTAGAAGGAAGACGATTGGCTCCATATCACCCGCTACAGGTTAGATTTACCACTACATTTGGGTGTATTACATGTATAAGGAAATTTTAAAACCCTAATTATTTCCTGGATTATAGAAAGGACAACATTGATACAACTTTTAAAATTTTAATTATCAGAAATAGAGATCTGCTTAAAACTTAAGAGAAAGGAAGGAAATTATTATGACAGCACATATATCATAGATAAGCTTTGTAGTATGTTCCATGTATATTTGATAAACTATTATTAACAAAATGTTCTTGTGAATGCAGCTTGAATTGTGTTTGCAAGATCTAGCAAAAAAGTACAGATTAAACCATTTTCATTGTGTCGTAACTCTAAGGATCAGCTGGGATGGAGCAATCTCTTGCAGAGTTGTGAAAACTTGTTTGTTACTCTCCAATCACTGCAATAGGCTTGCATCTAGATTTTTGACATGATTATTTCCAATTCAAAGTAAATTTTTTATATCTATTTAGTTTATATCTATCTTAAGTACAGAAATTTCGTATAGTCATCTAATTATGTACAGTTAAAACTGTCTAATTAGGTAATGTGTCAGACAGACAGACAGACAGGTACATTTACACTAATAAAATTAACCAAACACTTGGATGTATTGATATGGTTGAATATTGCATACATCATTTCCTATGGAGAATATTTAGCTTTATATTAGATACAGTGTATACATATTGGATCACATTATATTCACTTTACAAACCTCTAGTGATATGAGGAAGACGTAATTTAAGGGGGCACCTGTTTCTTCAGAAGAGGGGTCATTTCTGTCAAACTCCCACATAACAATGGGGGCCTAGAATTCTATTGTAAACAGACCTAGGTTTGTGTAAATCTAGGAAATGATATAGCAATCTGGATATAAACATTGTAAAAATCTCCTCCCAGACAAAGGGTGGAATATCTCTGACCTTCGACCTAATCATCCTCGCTAATGTGAAGCACCTGTCTTCCTGGAGTCATTTTTGAATCATCTTGAAATTGATGGATGTCTTCAATACCATCGCACTTTGAAAAATAACTGAAACATATGATTTTTGTAGCTCTCATGGAGTTATTCTGGTAAAATTGAATTTTTATTGGTATTTTTGGAAAGCTATAGGAGGAGGTTTACTATAAACACATGGCTTAAAATATCTGCTAGACCTTAAGCATCAAAGTTAGGCTGCTCCTAACTATTAATCAGTTTGCATTCATCAGATTATTAATGCAGTGAAGTGATTTATTTAATTATGTATTTTAATTGACTCATGCTCCAAAATTGGCTACATATTGCCTACAGAGGATAACTCTGTATTAAAGTAACTAGTGCTAATTGTAACAGGGACCGTTACAGATGTTCCCCAAACGCTCCCCAACTCCCTTTTGGTGCCATATTCCCTGTAAGCTTCATTAAATAAGACAAACTCGATGCATTTGAGACTTTAACAACGTTTACCCAGAAGTGTACAAAGTTCATTCAAATTTTAGCATTGCACGCCTGCGCATGTGAATGCATGTGCGTAATGACCATATCATCTTGTATACACAATCTATATATTTAAATATACTAAATATTAAAGTATTTAATCCAAAAGTATTAAAAAGATAGGCTCATTCAAGTGTTTTTCTGATTTTGCTCATTTCACATGCACGCACGTGCATACATGAGCATGGTAACCATATCTTCTTGTAGATGTCCGTTACATCTATCTATGTTCTAAATCTCACCCCGTTTGGTTGAAAACGAAGGGAGTTATAGCTGTTAAAGTTTCAGCCAATCAGATTGCAGTGCACGTACATGCACGTGTGTGCATGTGCATGGTGACCTTACTTTCTTGTAGTAGTCCAGTATATCTATCTATGTTCCAAATCCCATCCTGTTTGGTTGAAAATCAAGGGAGTTATAGCTATTTAAAGTTTAAGCCAATCAGATTGCAGCGCACGTGCATGCACGTGTTTTCATGATAATTGCTATATGTCATGTTGTAGGATATATTAATTCATGGCTATTTTCAAAATTTCAAAGGATTTCGTCAAAAAAGAAGAAAGATATTGAGACTTTATTTTCAGCCAATCAGAACGAAGCGCACGTGCATGCGCGTGAGATCTTGCTATATTGACCATGTCATATTGTCTATGCTTCTAATATATCCTTATATTATAAGTTTCAAAGCATTTCATCAAAAATTTTAAAAGTTTCGCCTATATCAATTAAATCGGTCATTTCACATGTTGCACGTGCACGCTCTTGCAAGCACGTGCGCGCAAAATGACTTTCGTTCCGCAAATCTACATAACATGTCTACTGACCCTATAAACATTTCACCTTAGTCAGTTGTGTAGTTTAGGAGATCATTCCCGGACAAAAAAGTACCCAGGAAGAAGAAGAAAAATAATAATAATAATAATAAGAAACAGAGTAAAAACAATATGTTCCCCAACTTCGTTTGGGGAACATAATTAAGCTAAGTTGTCTACTTCAGCTATAAACTGGTAGTCATTCATCACAGTATTTGTTCAAAAATTCCCAATAGTAATAGTAATTTTAGTGTGTTTTCCCTCTCTGTTCCAAAATGTTAATAGTTACTAACAGTTAAATTTATTTTAAGAAATGCAACAAAGAACACATATTTTGTTTAGATTTAAGGTTTGTCATCCCTTACTGTTCACTCTAATAAAATATTGTTTTTCCAGGAGAACTTCCAAAATAGGTAAATGCACCAAACTCCACTCTACTTGTACATTGAAGGAAAAAATTCCTTAGGTATTTATCTTAAAGAGGGTTATCTCTCTCCCAGAAGGTCCGAGAAACCTTAATAAATCTTAAATACTTCAGTTTTATACATGACGGTATTGAAATTTTCAATTAAAACGTATGAGGTACATTTAATGTAGTTAGTTTCATTTTGTTTTTGAAATTATACAAAAAAAAAAATTTAGAGAAAGGAAATTTTAACGTGTTTAGCCCCCCTCCCCCAGTAGGTATTATTGAAACAGATAGGCTTCTAGAAATATTGCCTTCCATGGGTTTCCTCCAAGACTTTGCCAGGCGAATCCACAAGAGACCTTAAGCTACCCTTCTAACACTGTCTTTAAATAGAATAGTCAGCTGACAGGAAACAGATACACTTAACAATGTTCACACTTCCCTCGGAATGTTTACTTGAAGGTTACTAAAAATAGCACTTGTCAAATGAATACACAATTGTTGTCATCTCCGTTACAGATTCTTCCTGGTCTGTTGAGCTCTACAGGAAACTTTTATTTATACATTTCAAAAAAGAAGAAGAAAATATTGAATTCAGAAAACTGTCATGAATGAGGGTTTAACTTTTATTTATGTGAGGGATATTTATCCTGATGTTTCATAAGGATTGTGTGTAACTTGATCTAACTGTGCATGGTGCATCTCTTTATTAGCAGATAGTTTATTTTTACTTATTTTTAATTTTTGACCGGTAAATATACATGTGCTTCTCAGGAATGAGAATTTAAATTGCCAGAAATTATTAGGTTTGAAAATTTATGATTTCAGTAATGCAAACTTTTTGATCTGTGAAAGATGTCATTTGGTTGTCAAATTCAGTGGGTGAAAAGTACATTATGCATATCTCATCTTCATGTAAATCATTTGTGTATATAATATCTATAATCTATATCTTTTCAAATTTAATATATTTTTTTCTATATTAAATTTTACAACAGCTAGCTGCTATAATGTACAGTATTAGCAGAATTTTTAGCGAGGATTTAATTTTGGCATTATTAGCGAGGGTGCCAAGATCGCTAAAATTGAATATCGCTAAAAATTAATTGTGTTTTATTTGTAATAGCTTCTTTAGTGAGCTTTTTAAATCGCTAAAATAACATCTCGCTAAAAATAAAATACCAATTTTTAAGGACAAATCGCTAAATTTGCGTCTCGTTAGAATTTCCACTTATACGATATGTAGATGACAAAAGAATGTTCATGAATAGAATGGACAGTATACTTTTTAAAAGATAAATTATACAATTTGCACATATTGCAGTTATTAAAATACACCATGTTGTGCCACTTAAGATGAATTAATATAGGGGGAATTCGCTTATTATTCAATCACCCTAGGAATGATTTTTTTTTTCCATGTCGGAATTTTATCATGATTTAAATGCTAAAATCTCAATACAGAGTCATTCTTGATAGTGAAGACATCATTAACCAGCTAGGAATAAGGGAGTAATATACATGTATTATATATAATAAAACCTGGGAGTTTCTCTAAGGCTAACATTTGTCATTGGTAGGGAAAAACATTAAAGCACCTTTGATGCCCTTATATTAGTCAGAGTTTGAATGATATGACATTATTTAAACTTTTTCTTCTGGCACACATGTATACTACCTGTATTACATATTCAGTGAATCATTTGTAAACACATAATGAATTTCAGAGGCCTGAATTTAACCCTGTCAAATATGTATTAGAGTTAAGGATCTGATAAGGGAATTCTTGTATGATAAGTGAATATTCAAATTGTGATAAATCAATGTATTTATTTCAAAAAGTCAAAATCTAGGCATATAAAGGATAATACACAAAATGGTACTTTTCTGTGGATTTTTGAATTTCAGGTTTAATTATTGCAAGCCGTATTGCATGTATTGAGACAAAAATCTCTAAAGGATGCCACTTTTTTGTAGAGTATCGAGATGGATTTCCTGTGCCATCTACAACTGATGATTTAAGCACCTTTGATGAAGAAGTTTTTGAGAGTTGCACTCGTACTGTTGAAGTTCCCCTAAAACCAAAAAATCAGCGAGCTGTGTCCATCCCAAACCTCAGTCACATTAGGTCAAGGTTATCCAGTATACAACTGCCCTCAAAGCTGCATCTTCAAGGTAAATCTAAGTCACATCAGGTCAAGGTTACTTAGTTTACAGCTGCCCTTCAACAGCTTAAAGCTACATCTTCAAGATAAATTTCAGTCAAATCAGGTCAAGGTTACTTAGTTTACCCTAGCTGCCCTCAAGCTCCATTTTCAAGGTAAACCTTATTAATCATATTAGGAGGTCAAGGTTACTTAGTTTACAGCTGTACCCAAAGCTTAATTTCAGTCACATCAGGTCAAGGTTAGCTGGTATACAATTGCCTTGGCTCAACACACCATCATCAAAGTAACAGTTTCCCATATGAGATATTCTTTACATTAGTCTTTATGGTAACACTTTTAGCTTTATTTACCCAGTCAACCTACAGTGAAGTTTTACCACATGTTGGTTTCTAAGCTGTCCTTGAGACTCTGACCTTCAGGTTTCCTTATGAAGGGTATTCAGTACATGTATTATTCAAATTAATGTTAGCTTATCTGCATGTTATCCTCTTACACTGCAGTAGAGGAATGAACTTTTGAAGGTTTATGGAATATTTAGTCAACAACACCAACCTTTTATACCCAGAGGATGTATGCTAAAATAGATGAAAGCAATTTGAGACCAACTGTTTAAAAACCATCTGTTTATGTATCTATAAAAAATAAAAGTGTCATATATCTCCTACCTTGACTTTTCAAGAGATGAATGTAGTTTTGTAACTTTTGTTAACCATCTCTTATACTCTGTGTAATATACTCTGTATGTGCAGGTATGTTAAGGGTATATTATCATGTTTTATTTAAGGCTGTGTTATTTTGATGGAAGTAGAACTTTGCCTACCTAATTAGATTTTTTTTCAGTGATAGTATGTGTAATAATGTTACTTTGACAGAAAATATTAATGTATAGAGAAAATTAGGCAATTATTTTCTTTACATGTACTGTATATATCATATGCATGTGTGTCATTAGAGCACATGCATAATATATTCCAAGTTAATTAGATTCTATTTGTTTTGAAGTGAATGCATGTACAATATGGTTCTTAAATCCTAAATCTCTATACAGTAAAACTCGGTTATAGCGAAGTCCTTGGGACCTGTGAATTTAATTCGCTATATCCGTAATTCGTTATATCCGTATAACGAATTCGTATAACCATTATAGCGAATTCGCAATATGCATGTTTATCTTCAAGTATTACTACCAAATATGTTAGGGAAGCAAATATTACAAAACACATCTTCGATAATAAAAGTTTTATTATGAATAGAATTTTATATACGAATGCTAAAAGGAAATAAAGTCAGTTTAGTTCATCAGTTTTTTGTAATCTTTGAAAGTTCGTTATAAAAGATGTAAATTTTATTATATTTAACCTCAACGGGACTCAAAATCAGTTCGCTATATCCGTAAATTCGTTATATCAGAGTCCGTTTTAACCGTAAAATTTAACAAAGATTTGTTAAGAATTTTGCCGGGGACACAGAAAAACTTTGCTATATCCATGAATTCGCTATATCCGTGTTCGTACTAAACGAGTTTTACTGTACATTATTTTAATAAAAGGAAGATTTTTTTATTTTTGCATATGTATAATATACAAGGGTATTCTGATAGTTCTTACATCATGTATATAATTTACATAATATTTAAAGTAGGAAAATTTTCCTGTTGTACCTTTAATTCAAAGTAAATGGAAGTGTACCTGTCCCAAGACTGATTGTATTGTTGGCATCATATTACAGATACACCCTTCTGATTCTTGATCGGGAAGTTATATTTTCAGAATGTAGAATTGGAAAGTATGGTTTTTCTATGCTACATGTATATATATATAGATACTATATAGACCCATACAAGTGAGTTCTGGGCTCAGAGTTGTCTATAGATTTAAGGAAGTTCAATATTTTCTTCCCCATGCAATTTTATTTTAACAGTGTATTAGCACAGTTCAGTATTTGGTGGGCAGTTTTATCAATGTCAGGTGACTAATTTGGCAGCTCTTGTTTATTAAGGATAGTTTTAAAACATGAAGACACAGCTGTTTTAGAAGAATTATTAATTGACAAACAAGTCGAATTTATGCACCAGAGGTCATAAAAGAATGGATGAATTATCCTGCAAGATCAATAACTGTAGATCAAAGGTCAAGGTTATTTGAAGACCATGAAGGTTAATGCTTGTAAATAACATTAAAAATGATAACATTATCAATTTGTACACAATGTTGTGGTTGACGTGAAATTTACATGAAAGACCAATAATATTAATCAATGGCTAAGATGATCTGCTGAGTTAACCTTTGGTTAACCTTGTCATATGTTTGTGACATCATAATGTATTTTCCCCGCTCACCATTAAATATTTAATAATGACATCACATACATACATTTAACATCACACATATCTTTGAATTAACTGGAAACTATATTGATGATGTTATTAAGATGACACTCATTAAAATTTAATCAAAAGATTTTATTCATAAAAATTTGTCACGCCCTTGTAATGTGGATGTGGACCTCATGCTCTGTCCACTTACAACTCAAATGCCTTGGACGGGCATGTTTCCTGATATTCGGTCAATAACCTTTAAGTAGATTCTAATGCATTTTCCCAACATGTAACATTGCACCTTCAGGATAAAACATCATGAATTTGGTTTTGTTCATAATTGCTTTACAGGCAAACAGGTATCTGATGATTTTTTTTTTAGCTTTTATTTTTAAAAAATTTACCTCTACTTTATTTATATTTAAGGTATAATCACAGTCCCATATGACTATGTCTATCTTCAGATTCTGAAATTTTTTTGAAAAAGATTTCCTAGCATTCAAAATGAAAATTTAATTATCAATCATTTTGAAAAAATTTTGTTTTCCATCTTATGAGTTCTTGTGGAGTAAAATGAATATTGTTTTCCTTTATGATTTTAGTAAATTAAATGAAACCATTGTCAGAAAACACCAATCATTCACACTACAAAACAGTGATTATGACATCATTACTCTCTAGTACTTTTATGCTTGGAAGCACACTGCCTTTCTGACAGAATGATATTTGTCCTAATGCACAGGTGATTGGAGGTATTTTTATGGCCCAGTATGTAAAGGATTTCATCTACATGCCTGTTTGCACACATAAACACAAGGGATCATTGTGTATTATAAACTGATAATATATATATGTATAGTAAGTGTGACAAGTGTCCTCGGCTATTATGGTGATTTCTGTAATCCCTGTTTAGTACATCCTGGTTAACACATACCACAACTCTCTCTCGGAACAACATAAATCGCTCGAGGACTTTATAAATATTCCACACCAGCATGTAAGTCTTCATAGTACATTCTTCTCTTACTGTTTAATGAATAACTTCTGATCAGAGTAAAAGAATTTGTTTTTCTGATTTCTATGATTATAAGTAAAGCAGTATTTGGTTTTCAGAAACTCAGACACAATAAGGATCGTCTAGCTTATTGTACATGAACAAGTTGTCGACATTAGAAATGTACAATGTATATATGTAGGCTTGCCAAATTTCTGTTTACCTACTAATGTTTAATTTACATATATATATGACAGTGACCTGGATTGTATATTTATGACATTTTATCTTTTTATCGAGGAAGTTTAGAATCTGACACTTTTGATGGACATACGTACATTACATTTTTGTCAGTGAATACTTCTAAATTGGGATTTGATCAGAAAAGAATTGTGCATTTATTTCAACTCTGTCAAAGTAAACATTTCATACTGTAAGAGGGAATTATTGGAACCTTTTTTGCCTTGAACATTCTGTTTAATTATTTTTTTTTTCAAAAGATGTCCATAGAACAGGGAAGTTTTAAAACTGTGTGAATAAATCATTCTGCAGTTTGAATTGAAGGTTCAAGAAGTTAACTGGCTCTTTCATTTGTGAACCTTGGCCAATCTGTTTCTCTTTTACTGAAGGAATTGTAAATCTACAGGTAGTATGAATTCATTATTTACCTGTAAGCTAAAATAAAACAACGTATTTAATTCCTCTGTGGAAAAAATTAAGCTATTTTCATCATGTTCATAGCTATAATGAGATTATGGTTTGTCAGTTGGTTGAGTACTAGCTCTCTAAGTTTTACAAGAGGCACAAGGTTCAAGTCCTATTTTCCTATTTTCTAGATTTTTATTCCTGACAGATGGTTAGATTAACCATCAGATCTAATATTTATCAAAGAGAGCTGCCTAAAATCTATAGCAGTAAAATATATACAGCCTAATTAATTAAATAGTCTATACTGAAAATAAATCCCTAACAGAAACTGCCTTGGATAAAGTATCAGTAAATGAAATACATATCCACCGTACATATGACCTAGTATCAGTAAATGAAATACCAGGGTCATTCAAAAAGTATGTGACCCCTAATTTTTTTATTTATGAAATCCATATCCACTTACATCCAAATTTAGTAAATGAAATTTATTTAACAACAAATCGAATAATTTGATTTAAAAAATTGGAATATATCTTCATATTTATAAAAGTTATTGAAGATTTAGGCTAGAGCAAAATGAAATCCACCGTAGCATATGACCAAAATTCAGTAATTTACCAATTTTTACTTTATATTATATAAAAGTAAATACCTCTATATAAATGGCCTATTGGTTAATAAAGTCCATTTAAATTACATGTTTAAATTTTGTCTTGCTATTTCTCAATTTCATGCTATCAGGTAATGTAATATATCGACATGTCGTTGTACAAGTATCAGAAACACATAATTAAAGGACTTGATTAAAAATGGAAAAAAAACATGACATTGGAGGATGTCACAGAGCAGCGAGTAGCAATAAAATTTTGCTTTGCATTCGGGAAATTTTTTTAACAAAAGTAAAAAAAATCTGTACAAACCAGGAAATATATGAAAATAAGCGGTGTATTTATATAAATATGGAAAATACAAATTTTGACTGGTACATGTACCTATTTAGTCGGAAAAATCCTTATGGAACTCCATATGACACATTGGTTTTATT